GTAGGGGTCAGCGGGCGGGGGTCCCGGCCTCTTCCCGCGCGGCGGCTCTGGGGGACCCTGCCCCCTGCCCCGGCCTCAGTTTCCCAGGCAGACGCGCGCGCGCGCGCAGTGTCCGGAGACGTCCGTGCGCGCGGTGGCGGGGACTGCGCGGAGACCCTCTCGCCCCGGGACCCACGGGCCCCCTGTGCGACCCCGCCCTGGGGCCCCCAGATTCCCCGCCGGGACCCTGGGGTTGCAAACGCCGGGTTTCGCTCGCGCACGGAACTCCCGAGGGAGCCTCGCATCAGGGCGACCCCGCACCCTGGTCCCCTCCTCCCTGGCCCCTTCCCAGCGAACTCTTCTCTCCGAAATGGACTGGGGCACGGGCAAGTGGGACAGCCCGGCCGAGGTGCCACCCCATGTCCCCATCCCCCACCCTACCCCCAGCCAGGTGCCCTTCCTGGGATCCCTGGTCCCCGGTGCCATCCTCCCCTTCCCCTCCAAGCAATCGCTCTCCTCCCTGGAAGGGTCCTGCTTTGGATCACACCTCCTCCCTGCACCTGAGGTGACCCGGCTTCTCTCCACCCCCATGTACCGGAAACCTTGGGGCCCGGTGAGGGGGGGTGTCGCTTGGTGGGGTACAGCCTCGGTCCAGTCTGGATGCCTGGACCCGAGGTCACCTCGGCGCAGCGTCTCCAGCTTGGAGCTCACTGGGCGCAGGCCACCATTTTCTGGTCTGCGCTTTTCCAGCAGGGAGAGCTAGGGCCAGCGTGGGTGCTCTTTGGTTTCTGCTCCTGGAACTCAGGTGGAGCATTGGGGGGTCAGTTTCCTGAGAATGTGCAGTGCAGAGGATTCCCATCTCTCCAAGTGGAGTTGGGAAAGAGAGGCGGTGGGCCTGCTGGGCTCCATTTCCAGGCTTCTGCATTGAGGTTAAGGAGCCCTGGGGGCTCACTAACCACGTGGTTGGCTGTTCAAACCCACCAGCCGCTCCGAGGGAGAAAGCCGAGGCTGCGTGCTCCAGTACTGATGTAGTCTCAGAAACCCTAAGACGGTTCTGCTCTGCCCTAGAGGCTCGCTATGAATTGGAATTCGACTTGTTGGCCAGGGGGTTATTTGGGACTGGGGTTCATGAGTGTCCTCATGACTGGGTCAGACAAGCCCGGGGAGCCTTGCTCTGGGTGGCAGCTGCCCCATGCCCCCCGAGTTGTTGAGCTCCCTAGCACCTAGGTGCCAGACTTACTGTTCCCCACCCACACAAGTGGGGTTTGCATGAAGAAATGAAACTAAATGAGGTGTCTGTGTGCAGATGAAGAAAGGCAAAGATCGCCCATCAGAGGTTGTCCCCATAAAGCCACAGGATCCCCTGTCTGTGTATGTACATGGCCAGCCAGGCACTGGCTACCCCCCAAGTCTTATGTTGTCCCCACTGGGTGGAGGCACCCTGAGTTTATAGGCACGAAGTGAGATGCACTCAGTCATTCCGCTTCTTAGAGCCCAAGGCAAGATTTCAACCCTCGCAGCCTCACTCCAAGGAACCTTGATAAGGTTGGTGGTTCAAACCCACCAGCCGCTCCAAGGGAGAAAGCTGAGGCTGTCTATCCCTGGAAAGGTTCACCGTCTCAGAAACCCAGTTGACTCTGTCTCACGTACAGCTGCCACCGGAGGCTTTCTGAGACTGTAACTCTGCAGGAGTACAAAGTCTCGTTTTTCTCCCTCAGAGCAGCTCATGGTTTCAAACTGCTGAGCTTACGGTTAGCCACCTAACTCGTAACCCGCTACGACTCCAGGACCCCATACTCTGCCTTACAGGGTCGCTGGGGTCCGGATGGATGGTAGTGGAAGTGGAGACTTACTCCCCGGTGCTTGTGCTAAAGCGGCATGCCTTGAGGAGGGAGGCCCGGCAGGGGATCAGGAATAGGAAGTGAGATCCTCCTGCACTTCAGGGCCCTGGGACTTGGCTCTGTGCCTTGGATCCACTAGACCAGGGCTGGGGGGAGAGTCACACCCCAGGCCTGACCTCTCTCCTCTGCACCCCACCCCAACCCCCAGGAAGAAAACCGTCTACCGGAGTGTGTGCCTGTCTCTGGCACTGCTGGTGGGCATCACCTTGTTCCAGCGCAGCCTGACCCCCGGCCAGTTTCTGCAGGAGCACCTGTCGACCACCCCAGGGCCACAGAAGTCCCAGAAGCCAAGTGGGCACCTGGTGAACCCCAACAGCTTCTGGAAGAACCCAAAGGAGGTGGGCATCCCCACCCCCACCGCTTCCCGGGGCCCCCAGTTCTGGGACGTGACCACCACCAACTGCTCCGCCAACGTCAACCTGACCCACCAGGTGTGGTTCCCGGGCCTGGAGCCCCACTTCCAGCAGTTTCTGCTCTACCGCCACTGCCGCTACTTCCCGCTGCTGCTGAACCACCCGGAGAAGTGCAGCGGCGACGTCTACCTGCTGATGGTGGTCAAGTCGGTCATCACGCAGCACGACCGGCGCGAGGCCATCCGCCAGACCTGGGGCCGGGAGCAGGGGCCCTCGGGGAGGGGCCAGGGGGCCGTGCGGACGCTCTTCCTCCTGGGGACCGCCTCCAAACAGGAGGAACGGGCCCATTACCAGCAGCTGCTGGCCTACGAAGACCGTCTCTACGGTGACATCCTACAGTGGGACTTTCTCGACAGCTTCTTCAACCTGACCCTCAAGGAGATCCACTTCCTCAAGTGGCTCGACACCTTCTGTCCCAACGTCCCCTTCGTCTTCAAAGGCGACGACGACGTCTTCGTCCACCCCGCGAACCTGCTGGAGTTCCTGGCCGACCGGCAGCCCCACGAGAGCCTGTTTGTGGGGGACGTCCTGCAGAAAGCCCGGCCCATCCGCAAGAAGGACAACAAGTACTATATCCCCAACGCCCTGTACAGCAAGGCCACCTACCCGCCCTACGCCGGGGGCGGGGGCTTCCTCATGACGGGCGGCCTGGCAAGACGCCTCCACCGCGCCTGCGACAGCCTGGAGCTGTACCCCATCGACGACGTCTTCCTGGGCATGTGCCTGGAGGTGCTCGGCGTGCAGCCCCTGGCCCACACGGGCTTCAAGACGTTCGGCATCTCCAGGAACCGCAACAGCCGCATGAACAAGGAGCCCTGCTTCTTCCGCTCCATGCTGGTGGTGCACAAGCTGACGCCCCCAGAGCTGCTGGCCATGTGGGGCCTGGTACACGGCAACCTCACCTGCTCCCGCAAGCTCCAGCTGCTCTGAGCCCGCAGCCTGGCTGGCCTCCTCCCGTGGCGGGAGCCGCTGGCTGGAGGCTGCCCGCCCCCGTGTGGACACTTCCCCCAGGCACCCTGGAACTGCCCAGCGTGGAGGAGCCGGGACCTCAGCGAGGAGGCAGCCCCAACAGAGGGACCTCCCTGAGAATGTCCCCCCTCCCAGGTGGCCTGGAGGGGGACCCTGGGCTCACTGTACCTGGCCTGGTGCTGCCTGCTTGGCACCGCAGAAGATGCTCCTTCCTGGGAATGCCTCCGTCTCCCGCAGGACCCAGGAGGAGCCACCACCCTGTGCCGGCTCGCAGGATCCACTCCATCCCCACACTCCAAGCCGCTGGGTCTGCTGGAAGAAGCCACTGGGCCCCTCCTGGCTGGGCCTGAGCGTGTTCCACCTGTCACTCCGCCCCCCGGAAGGCATGACAGCCCCTGACTACCTCAGCGTGCCTCAGAACCTCAGGACAGGCTGCACCCCTGTCCCACCACGCCGACACAGGGCGCTGGCCCCCACGCAGTCCGGCTGCTGCCTGACACCCCCATCCACCTACTACCAAGGCCTAGCTCCCTGGTGGGGAAGGCAGCAGCCTGAGTGGCCTTGGAATTGAACATTCCTCTTTCACTGTGAAGTTTTATTTATCAAGAAGCTGGAGGAAGAAGACCATGCTGCAGGAGGGTGTGGACATCTCCCCAACTCACGCCCCGTCCCCCCCCACACACACCTATTCCAGTAAAGTCCACCACCCACGAGCACCCTCTGCCCTCCCACCTCTTCCCAACCCTCCCCTGCCTACACCCCCACTTCTCCAGGGCCCAGGCACTGAGGGGTGGGAGGGGCCCGGGGTCCGAGGGGGTGGGCAGAGAAGGATACCACCTCCTACCTCAGCACAGAGTCACCTGGGTAATGATCGAGGGATCCTCTCTATTTTCTCAATAAAAGGGGACTGGTTTTTTCTAGGGTGACACTGCCTATCTTGGTGTAAAGACACAGCTTGTCCTTTCTCCTTCCTGCCCCTTGAGGAGTCCCCCACCACCGCCCTACTTGCTGGGCCCCCACACACACACACACAACCCTAGTCTTAGAAGGGTAGAGGCCACAGGGCCAGGCAGGGCAGGTACACACACACACACACATACACGTCTCCGTGCCTCATGTCCCCGATGGACAGCTGACCCTCTGGTCCATGCAGGGACCCCCCAGTTGAGGTGGCAGAGGGCCACAGGCCCTGTAAAAGGAGTCAGTGGGATTGAGGTGGTGGCTGGCTGGTGGGTACCCCAGTGACCACGGGATTCATCTGTCCCGGGCTGAGGGGTAGGATGCCTCTGCTGGCAGCCATGTCTGAGCCCCTCACCATAGGAGAGCTCTGCAGGGGGAGGGGGTGGGGATACACACCTGCATGTGAATCACATGGCCCCCAGTCATACAGGAGGGTCCTGTCACTCCTGCTGAGTGATGTCACCCTGCCCTCCCAGAAGGAAGGGTGCCCCAGGGGACGGTGGCTGCCTTTTCTGCCTCCCAGCTCCCCTCCACTCTTGGCAGCTGCCCCAGGATGTGGGGGTGTGTGTGTTATGGTTGGATGCTATCCAAAAGGTCAGTTGTTTGAAACCACCAGCCGCTCCGAGGGAGAAATTTGAGGCTGCCCTGTAGGGCAGTCCTACTCTGTCCCCTGGGGTCACTAGTCGTCAGAATGGACAACAGATTGAGTTGTGTTTGGGTTTTAGCACCAAATGAAGTTGTTGGAAGGGGTGGTTTCCTGGTGACAACAGAGCCTTGGCCTTCCTTCCCCCCCTCTTCTAAGGGGGTCCTGTGACTGTAGATCACATGTGGCCTGGGCTGGCATTGGGGATGGGATTTGGGGGGCAGGGGAGGGGGGGCGTCCAAATGCTGAGAGTCCAGTGATCGGGCAGAGTTAGTGCCCAGGACTGCAGGACAGGGCGTAAGTGGTGGTTCTGGGGTTTGGGAGGAAGAGACTGGGGCTCAGGCACAGAACCCTGGAAGGAGCTGGTGCTGGCCGGGGGAGGGAGCTGAGGGACCCACATCACTTCCTCACTGGGCTTGGCTTGGAGGGGCCCACAGGGCAGCAGCAGGTCCCCCCTTACAGTCAGCATGGTGGCTGAGAGGCTGACAACAGATGGAGCCACTCCGAGGCCTCTGCCCAGCTGGGTCTGGGGGACCCAGATGGCTGAGAGGGAGGGGGAGCTGGTGGGAGGCCCCAGCACAGGACAGAGAGAAATCGCTTCCTTGTGTTGGGAGTGGAGGAGGAGGGGCAGTTCAGTACCTGCACAAGCCGAAGTGGGCCAAGAACAGGCACACAGTGAGCCGGCCAGCCTGGTGAAGGCGCAGAACTTGCTAAGAGCTGAAACATCACAGCGTCTGGGATCAGGTGAGGCCTACCCCCGTGCAGGGTGTGGGAAAGCAGCCGTCCAGCTCTGGGGGAGCAAGCAGGATCCCAACCCCTGCCACCAGCCCCTGAGTCCCTCTGGCAAGAGAGACTCCTGGGAAGAAGAGGCAGGTCCCTGTCCAGCCCAGTCAGTGGTCTAGCTCCCAGCCCTGTTCCCCCAGTGGGCCTAGGAGAGTGGCCGGGTTCCTTACTGCCCCAAGACAGCCTTGATCTCCCAGGGGGTTATTGCGGATCATTAGTGGAAACAGATTCAAAGTTCAGAAGATTCCCGAACCTTCGAGTTTGTTTCCAGGAACAAAGATAGCAATAACTATTAGTGACGAGGGAACGCTTGATAAGCTGGCCCTTGTGCTGTGATACAGCCCTGGGTTAAGCAACAGGCTCCTGATCACAAGGTCAGCAGTTTGAACTCGCCTGCCTGACTGAGGAAGAAAGATGAGACTTTCTGCCCCGAGAAAGATTTACAACCTTCGAACCCAGAGGGGCAGTTCTACCGGCCGCTAGGGTCTCTGAGTCATAATCAACCAGATGGATGGCAGTGAGGTGCTGAGAAATGCGCACGGGTAACCAGCCTCTAGCTCAGGATACAGATAAGGTTGTGTTTCATTTTTCTCATCGATTGCTCTATTGGTAAAAAAAATTCCAGTCGCATTCTTTCTCTGAGAACCCACTCGCTCCCAACGAGCATGTCCAAGAACCTCCGGCGCTGCTCACTGACTGCAAAAAGTCCGTTCTGTTTGGCCTCACAGCAGCCGTGGCCCTGTTGACCAGGGGCCTGCACAGCCCTGTGTCCCTGGTGGCCCAGGTTGCTACACAGGCTGCCGTGAAGGCAAAGTGACCCTTCTCTATAGCACAACACAAGCTCTTCGATCTCTCTCCCAGGATAGAATCCTGTTAGGGGTGCTGGGCCCTGAGAAACTCCCCACCAACTTGCTCAGGGGCTGAAAGCCCTTTCCTGGCAGTCAGTTTTCGTCAGTCCTTAACCTGATCTTGGTGGAGCCTGCTAGTGCAGTGGTTACTGCTTGGGCTGCAATTCACACGGTTGGCAGTTCGAATCCATGGGAGAAGGACTGGGCTTCCTGCTCCTGTGGACAGGTGCAGTCTCAGAAGCCCACAGGGGGTCTCGTGGGGTCAGCAGTGACTCCGTGGCAGGGGGTTTGGTTGGTGGTTTTGTTTGGTAACCTGATCCCGGGAAGCAGGCTGGAAGGGGTGCATCTCAAGCTCTTTCCTCCCTAATAGCCCAAGGCTTCCTGTACAAACTGTTGACCTCTCCCCCTGCCGCCAGCTCAGCCTGCCTGAGAGCCTCGTGGGGGCATCTTTTGTCAGGCCACAAAGGGTCCTGATTTTAGGGGGTTGGGTTTTTAAAATCATTTTATTGGGG